ACAGGACATTTATAGAGTCTGGATGAGAACTAAGATGACTGTGACTGGTTTTCCTTGGTTACATGTTCCTCGCTGCTTCTGTCTACAATGAACTATTGTTTTTGAACTCCACATACCCCCTCTGCTATTTTAGAGTGGAGGGGCACATTTTTAAGGCTCTGTCTCTGAGCTAATAATAGCCTAGATATAAAGGAACTGGGGACCCTGTGGACAGGAGAAAATCTACTTATATCTTTTTATAGACACTGGGGTCAGACCTTTTGAGTCAGGAGGACAAATTCAGTACTAGAAGTCACTGGCCCATGACAGGGTGGCCTCTGAAGTTCTGTAGAAACTTTAAATAGGACAAAGAATAAACTAGAACATAGGTGTGTCATGAAAACATACAGAGATATTAGCTCACAAAACAACTGACATTAACGGAACAGTGACAACTAGTCACCAGATGGTAAAGTTCAGCTTACTCACTCAAAAGTATCTCAACCATCCTGACCCTTGCTGTGCCTGGCCCTGCCTGTATGTGGCTGAGGGAAGAAAGGAAGACGGTTTATTGGATTCAGGCCATGACCTCTTCTCTACTGCCTGTCATTTGGAACAGCGACTTAAGGATTGTCAATACCATTCTCCTTCAGTTCATTCCCTCCATCCCCATCTTTTAAAAGCTATCTTGAGAGCAAGTACCTGTTTACATGAATAAGGACTTTCTCTATATACCTTTGAACATGTAGTCACAAGAAGAGAAGAGGTAGATAATAAGTTTTGTTTTAACAAACACTTATCTTGGGATCAATTCTTCAACAAAATATAACAATTCTAAGTACAAATGTACCTAAAATATATGAGGCAAAAACTGATAGAACTTCAAGGAGAAATAATCACATTCACAATCGGAGATCTCAAAATTCCTCTTTCAGAAATTGATAGAACATGTAAACAAAATCAGAATGAATGTAGTGGACTTGAACAGTACCATCAATCAACTGTCTTAGTTGACATTTATAGAAAACTTCACCCAACAACAACAGAAAACACTTTAAATGTTTTCAAGTGCATGTGGAAAATTTACCAAGGTAGATCATATTCTAAAACAAATCTTTATAAACTTAAAGGGACTGTAAACATATAACTTAAAAAGACTGTAAGCATATAAAGTATATTTTTTCTCCATAATAGAATTAAATTAGAAGTCAAACAGAGCTATCTGGAACTCTTCCAAATATCTAGAACTTTAACATAGTTCATCTAAGTAATCCACGGGTCAAAAAAGAAACCACAAGGTAAATTAGAAAGTATTTTGAATGAAATGAAAATACACAGGTCAAAACTTGTGAGATCACTGCTAAAGCTATGATTAGAAGATATATAAAATTAAATGTTTATATTAAAAAATAAAAAAGATCTCAAGTTAAGAATCTAAACTTTCACCCTAGAAAACTAGTATAAGAGACAATAAAACACAAAGTAAATACAGGGAAAAATAAATAACAGAAATGAGTTAAATAGAAAAACTAATAAAAATGAAGAAAACCAATGAAATCAAAAGCTGGCTCTTTAAAAAGATTGGTAAAACTAACAATTTTGAAACAAGATCAAAGTTTAAAGACTTATATACCCTGTTTGTAGGCTTCCATAAAACTATAACAATCAGGACAACGTGGTATTAATGGACAGACAAACATGCAAATTAATGGTACGAAGCAGAGTCCAGAAATAGACTCACACATTTACGGTTAATTGAATTTCCTAAGGGAAATTCAATCTTTTCAAAGAAGAAAAGAAAAACATTACTGGAACAAATGGATACCTATAGATAAAAGGACGTTAATAAACCTTAATTATTACATATACAAAAATTACAAAATGATCTTAGAGTTTACTTAAGAGCTAAAAAGATAAAAATTCTAGAATTTTTCCAGGGAATAAATCTTTGTGATTTTGAGTTAAGGAAAAATTTCTTAAATCAAACAACAAAAAGCACAAACCATAAAGGAAAAAAATGATTAATTGGTTTAAATCAAAAGTAAAAAAAATACTTTCTTTTTAAATACACTGTTAAGAAAATGGAAAGACAAGCCACAGACTAGAAGAAAATATTTGCAACACATATATCTAACAAGGGAGTTTTACTCAGTATACACAAAGGACTTCTTTCTAAGAACACAAATGACCCAATAAAAAGTGTTTAGATATGAACAGGTACTTCATCACAGAAAATATAAAACTGACAAATCAGCAGGAAAAGATGCTAAATGTCATTAACTGACAGGAAATGCAAGTTAAAACCATAAGCAGATACCATATACACTTATTGCAATGGCTAAAAGACTGACACAGCCGAAAAGATTGACACAATACTGCTCTGCCTAGACTGTAGAGTAGCTAGAACTTTCTTACATTCCTGGTGGAAACACAAAACTGACTAGACAATATGGAAAACAGTTTGACAGCTTCTAATCAAGTTAACTATACACTTGCCACACAATCCAATAAATTCCATTTCCAGACATTTACTCAAGAGAAATGAAGACATATATTCACACAAAAAACTATTATGTGAATGTTCACAGAAGCTTTATTTATAATAGTCAAAAGTGGTAAAAACATGAGTATCCATCAAATGATGACTAGATTAATAAATTGCTGTATATCCACATTGTGGAGCACCACTCACTCAGGAGTAAGAAGAATGGAGATGCTGAGATACACGCAACTGAATGAGCCTCAAAAGCACTATGCCAAGTGAAAAAAGCCAGTTGCACCAGCTTACATATGCCTGTTTTTATTTTATGACCTTCTAGAAATGGTAAAATTATAATGACAAGCTTCAGTGGTATCAGAGGCTGATTTTCAGGGAAAAGATTAACTGTCCAGGCACATCACGGAAATTTGGAGGGAGGGTGTAATGGACATTTTCTGAATCTTTAAATGAAGTGGTAGCTGTACAATGCTACAAATGTGTCAAAAAGTCATTGAAATTAAATGGGCAGCTTTAAAAATAATCTGTCTTTCATTTATTCATCCATTTAATATTCTGTGACTGTCTCCAAGGTTGTACATTTTGTCTTTGTTGTACTGAGCAATGAGGATCTTTAGGTGGACTGCAGGGTGGAGTCATCATGGATTTAATGGCATCCAACAGAGGTAAGGGTGCCCAGGGAGAGGTGTGGATATCTGTGTGCGAAATGGGAGTTTATGTAAGAGCTTTAGGATATGGAATATGTTTCTGAGAAATGAAATCGACTATTTTGCTGAGAAATTATTATTATTGTCCAGAATGACTGGTGTCAGGCCTAAGTCTGACAACAATAAAACATCCTGAAGCACATTAGGAAATTCTTAGTACTGGATTCTTCACTATCCAATATAAGCGTAAACAGATGAGTCTATCCATTGAGTAGTCCCTTCCTTTTTTCTGGTGAGAAAACTGAGGTTCAAAGAAATAAAATGCCCAGAATCAGACAGACTACAACTGAAGTCCTTTCTCCAATCTTTCTACTGTCCTGAGCCTTGGAAGAATTTCCGTCCAACTTATGTGTCTATTTTCAGGCCTGAAGAATGGAATCTGAAAAGTAAATATTCTATTCTTGAGACAACAAATAACTATGATACGCAAAGTTTTTAGGGTCTCTTCCACTACAGCTTCATGCTCTGATGAAATACCTCAACTGTGATTCTTTACGGACACAGAAACTGGAGAAATTTCGATGCTAAATTCTCTGTCTCCAAAGCACTTGGCTTTTGCTGGTGTGTGTGTGTGTGTGTGTGTGTGTGTGTGTGTGTGTGGGGGAGGATTGGGACTGGTGTCCTCTGACCTTGAGGCAGCTGCTCTGTCCAGCTCAAGTATCAGCCAGAGCAGCTGCTGAGTTAATCCACCAAGGACAGAGACATTGCTCTGGGAACCACTGTTCCTTGCACAGTTCTCATTAAATGGCTTGGACAGATTCTTCCAGAGGAGGCCACTAAGCCACACTGGGAAAAGAAAAAAGGGAACTGGGAAGGGCGAGTTATTGCTGCTGCTCCTACCTCTGTAAAAATTAGATCACCACATATATTCTCAATAAAAATGTCCAATTGTCCCTGGGGACAGGTGAGAGTGGGGGGAAGTCCCTGTGTTCAGGTGTAATTTTCAGGTAACTGTTGTAGGAAGAGGAAGGGCAGGGGATGGAAGCAGACTGGTCGAGGCAATGGCCAAAACAAGGCATATCCAAAACATGAGGATTCACTTTCTTTTTTTTGCAGTACTGGGGTTTGAACTCAAGACCTTACACTTGTTATGCAAGTGCTCTACCACTTGAGCCAAGTTTCTAGCCTTTCAATGTGCTGAAAACTAAATCTCCAAATTCATATGCTAATGTATTAGGAGGTAGGGCCTTTGGGAGATAATTAGGATTAGATGAGATCCTGTGAGATCCCCATGATGGCATTAGTGGAAGAAACCCAAGCTAGCATGCTTGCTCTGTTTGACCATGTGATGTCCTCCACCATGTTACCATGCACCAAGAAGGCCCTCACCACATGCTCCCAGCTTCTAGAGCTGTGAGCTAAGTAAACTTTTGTTCTTATAAATCACCTGGTTGTGGTACTTAGTTATAGCAACAGAAAACAGTCTAAGATAGCAGCCAATCTGTCTCACAACACCGTTCTCCCACCTTGTTATTGCCTTCTGAATTTCTGAGGTTGACTAGGGCATGGTGTAGTTTACTTCAAAATAAATTTAAAAATTAACATATGAAGAACATCAATGTTATTTTTTACCAAACTCTCTTTGTATTAATTGAACATATAACAGGCATGAAATAGAAGGGTGGAAACAGGAGCAACTCCACATCTAAAAGCCAGTTCATGTATGGTGCTCCTGCACAGTTTTCTGGTAGGAATGATATGCAATAAGGTTCAAAGTCCATCCTGCAGAAGGATGGACCAGAACCAGCATCTTTTGTGTGATTAAAATTCACCACTGCACCCCTACCCTGCCTCACCCTCATCTCACCATACAGCGCACATGACATGGGTTTGGTGGATGGCAGCCAGGAAGTTGAATCCAAACCTTGTTGAGAAAGTGTTATTATTTTTTTCTTAGAGAATGAGGATGGGGAAGGCAAAAATACTCTTCTGATCTGACAAAAAGTAAAAGTTCCACCCTGGTAGAGACATCTGGTTTTTACCATGATTGGTTTCTAACATAATCTGCCTGGATGCTTGGGTCAAAGGCAGGTTTTACTGTGAACGGATATGAGAAAAGCATCTGGGATAGAACATTTACCTTCTTAAAGGTTTTCAGTGCAGCTAATGGGGGCTGAAGTAGGCTTGCCTATGAGCCAGTAAGCCTAAGAAGCTTCTAAGTTTCCAAGGCAACAGCACTCCCTGACTTGGGGCCACCAAGAAAAGAGAGGCCTGGCCACCAGTAAATCAAGCCACATCCTAGATGTTCAAGGTAAGATAATGGTGCAGTGTGAAATTCCAACAGGCTAACCTTGCACTGGACAAATCCAAATCTGGCAGATTGGATTCAGGGTGGTGAAGGTGAACCAGGCCTGCAAAATATTCACTGGGTGAGGAGTTCACTACCATGGTAAGGTCTCTGTGAACCTATCCATCTCACATTTCAGGGATCACAAAGGGGTACTCTGTCATGAACAGATTTGTATCTTTATGTGAAGGGTCCTTTCTCAAACAAAATTACACAAGCAAAGTGCTTTGCAATAGTGAACATCAATCCACAGCACCCTACCGCACCTCACCCTCATCTGACCACACAGGCACATGGATGTCAGCATACATGACATGGGCTTGGTGGATGGCAGCCATGAAGCGTGACACTCCCCCTGCAGCCTTAGAGAATACTGCAAGGATATATAAATGGTGTCAAATCCCAAAACCCACATTCTCAGAATGTAAATGGAACTCTTGAGACAATTATTCAGATCCACAATGAGGTCCTGTTTTCAATAAAGCATGTTGTTTTCACTTTCCCCATTTTTATCCCATTGAGTCTATGGCCAATGCTCTCACCACAAATAATGTCAGGAGGAAGAGTTGGTCAGCTAAGCAGACTATCTGGACACTCAGAACCTTTTGAGCGTACACAGGTTACCAGCTGACTGTTAGACCTGGGGAAAGGTCCTGCTCACACAACTACAGACACAGCAGGTACCCATGGAGATCCCACTACCATTGCCTAGCAAGTAGCCAATGAGGCAGAAAGGGAGCCCATAATGGAGCTTCTACGAGAGTCACTGTCAGATCAGGGAAAAATCAGGAAGTCAGAAATAGCTAACAACACCTTACAGCACCAGGGACCCTGGACTGCTTCTGAGCTCAGGGCACAAGGAGCAAGAGCTTATGATAGCAGGGTCATTTATTTAAAGTCTGTGAGGTTTGGGTCTTTAAACATTACTAATTAAATTGGTAACCTTCCGAAGACTATTCAGAGTAAGATGTCAGTCCTAAAGCAAACCTCTTAACAGTCATCAAGCAAAAGCTTGTCTATGATAAATGTGTCTTAAAATAATAGTCGCAGACTGCTGGATGACATTATGGCTTTTCTTTGGTTCTGATTCTTTATGACTGGCAAGTGCACATTGATCTCTGGTTCTTTATTCATTCATATCTCATCTTCTTCTTGTTCTGTCCAGAACATCTTTCTTTCAGGACCTCCTCTTACAGGGAAGACCCTGTAGAGACTGAGGGTTCAAAAAGAATCAAGAAGTCATCTAGTCCACCTGCTCACCAGAATAGGCTCTGCCTAGACAGTACTCCAAGAGCTATCATCCAGCTACCTCCTGGGCATTTCTAGGTAACAAGAGGAAACCTTACTCCTGATGAAGGAACAACCATACATATTCCCAAACCAGTCTTTTGCTGCTCCTCCTTCTACTGTCAGAACAACAGTCCTCATGGCATTGTGTACAATCTAATGACCGTCTGAAGGGTTCACTTTTACTGGATTACTGAATAATTGCCCATGGAGTCACTTCTGAGCCCAAGGTCCCCTCCATGCAGGAATAGATAATGGAGCAAGCCCCCTCAGGAAGGTGCAGAGGCGATTGCATTGTAGGGAGCTTGAGGTCATGAATATTATCTGTGAACATGATTTTAGGTGACTGAGCCTTGAGGTTTGAGAAGTTTATCTCTGGGCCTACAGAAGAGGAACATTACAGAAGAAACTACATGAGATGTTAGTCAAGGGAAAAGAAAATAACTCCTACCCATTAAAGCAAAAATCAAGCACTGAATCTGACTCCAGATGTAGTGAAGTATAAGAAAAGCCAAAAGTGCTATGCAGATTGCTAACTCCTGTGAGAAAACAAGAAGAAAGCTTCACTGATATTATCGCAAATAATTGTTTTAATGTCATTTAGATGGACTTCTCATTTTTTTGCTGGCAACCTCCTATGTTCCCTTCATGGGGTAATTGCACTACTGTTGTCAGAAAAAAACTCTTCCTCAACTTCCACCACATACAAGAATTTCCAAAAGCGTTCTAGAAATAATCAGTCCACTTCATTTTTTAAATCTAAAACCTACCTCAGAAGGTTTCTTTATACCAAACGTTTATTTTTGTCATTTCGCATCTGTGAAAATAAATATCTGGCACAAAAGTATGGTACTTTTAATTTAAAAAATCACTTTCTTTTATTATCTAATGAAATTGAGGTCCGCTTGAACAGATACAATGGCGATAATAAAACATGTCGTTTGCCGTTCATAACCACCTGATGACCCAGGAGCATAGAGCTAGACAAGCTTCTTTGGCAGCCTCTTGCTGAGGTAACACTCCCACCCCACACATCATTTAGGATCACTCATGAGTCTGCAGTGACCATGAGGATTCTTGTTTTCAGAGAAACCATAAAAAGATTTCTCCTATGGACTCTTTGAGACATGCAAAAACCTAACTAGTATTAGGGAGAACACATGGACTTCAAACTTTCACTGTAAAAGGGAGAAAAAGATTCTCTTTAAAAATAGAGGAAAGCCTGTGTTGTCCTGCCCCAAGGAGCACAAATTTAGGAAGCATAGGTTTAAACAAGCCAAGATTGCCGAGCCATTGCCAGCATACTTCTGGAGCAGATTTAAGACTAAGTCAAATGTGCTCCTTGGAGGTTGCTGAGAAAGACAGAAGCAGGTGATTAGACTTGAGAAGCCCAAGAGGAACAGAGGAAAGGTTAAGTAAGGGCAAGTAGATGTTGCAAAGAAGAACCAATGACGCCAGCCAATCACTGCAGACAAAGCAGCTTTCAACAGCATGCCTAAGGGCCAGGCTTGCTTGTGCCCAATCCCCTGGGAAGCCAGGTGTGAGGTCACCACACATGGGCAGAGTGAAGTCAGACTTGTTTTGTTTTGCTTTTTTGCTTTGATAGAATGCTTAAAAAAAAAAAAAAAAACAACAAGCCAGCATTGAAGGATGAGTTTTTTCTCTATTTTCCCCCAAGGCCATGGTTTCTTTCTGTCCTTTGAAAGTCCTTCTCTCTTGCTGTGGCCTATTCCAGCAGGGCCATAGTGGGCACGGGAAAGCATTCAGGCACAAGAGCATGGACACTAACCTGAGAAGTAGCTGCAGGTGAACTAGTTTCCTTACCACTCACTGCTGCCCTCTCATTGGCTGCGGCTTCTGCCACTTCTGCCGACTGCACATTCGAATCCTCAGAACCTGGAGGCCCTATTTGCCCCAGATCTTTGCTCCCTGGGGTGCAAGGTGGGTTGGTGGTGGCTTTCCGGGTTTGGCTTTTATACCAACTAGGGTAAAACAAGGGATCCGCAGTTTCCGCTGCTGCCGGGGCTGGAGTTTCAGACTCTGTAGTCTGCTGAGAGCCAATGGGCACCACCTCCCCCTTAATCAGGACAGATGAATTCAAAAGTAAAAGAAAAGAAGAAGAAAGAAAAGCAGTTGGTTTTAGTTTCCTTTGGGAAACACTGAGTGCTCAGTATACAATTCCTAATTTAGTGGTTGTCTTAGTTTATCCCACCTTCTGGATATGCTAAGGGGAGAATGCTGATTACAGTGCCCCTTAGATTAGCAACTGAGATTCTTCTGTGCTTGCCTTTCAGTACATGGTAGTCGCCCAGGGAAGACAAAAAGCAGAAGCCTCAAGTGAAAGTTGCTTATAAAATATAGAAACGGGAAAAGGGTCCATCTATTGACCAGAATTAATTTTGGGCATTATAATAAAGGCCCCTAAAACTGCTTTTTTAAAACCAACAATTGACTTTATTGCTCAAATCCAGCCCTCACTTAGTTACTACCCTTCTTTCAATTTCAATGTAACTGGCATACCTAAAATTTCAAAATTCTAGGAAGCATTAATGGTATCTTAGCCTGGTTTCCTGAAGACAGAACATAGGATACAATTCCATGTCTGAGTTCCCCTTCTGGGGTTTTGTTTCTACAGATGATTTCAATCCATTCTGAAAGCAGGTGCAAAACTGGGGCCCCTCTTTGATGAGTCTGCATTGTCTACAGACTCAAAAGGTTGGAAGTGTCACGAAGTCAGCGCAGAAACTTGAAAACTGAACAGTGACCTCCTAGAAATGTAAGGTTAGCTAATCAGATTCAACATCTTGGATGAGCTAATTTCTTAACATGTGTTTTAAACAAGCCTGTCAATACACAATCTCAGCAAATGACGAGCACATAGGAAATCAGGCTTCATTTGCATGCCCACTGAGGGAAAGATCAAACTGTGTTTCAGGGTAAGCAACAGGAATGTAAGCCAGTGTGGTTTCTCTATTTACTTCCTTCATTACTGATAGAAAAGTCAAAGTTCTAAAAGTACGATCATGTTTTTTTCTCACTTCATCTTGTCTCTCACACTGTACTCTATATTTGTATGGACTGAGCAACAAACTGCAGATTAAGTCCTCATGATGGCAGCTCTCTACAATTTCCAGACAATGATTGGCTCGGATCTGAGGGAAAGTGGTTTTGTCACAATAATAAACCTGTTGAATCACCTGGAGGATTTTTCTCCCTGACACTGTGACTGTCCTGAAATCTTTTGTCTGCCACATAGAAATATTTGGTATATAGTCATCTTTTTCTCAAGGTAGAGTAAATTGTTTAGGGTGCTCACAAAGGAGACACACCAGCAGGAAGGAACTTGTAAATGGTTACCTGTGTCATTGGGGCATTTTCAGCAGGTGGCAGGGTTGAAGATGGCTCTGGAGAGGAAACCAGAAGTGCCCCCGTGGTGGTCTGAAGCTCTGAGGCCAGCAGAGAGGGCTCTGAGGACTTTTCTGGACTTTCATCTCCTGATGACTCTATTTGAACATTTTCTACCTCTTCCACTTCTCCTTCTTCTCCTCTTTCTCCTTCTTCTTCTTCTTCATCTTCGTCTTCATCTTCTATTAAGGTAAAGTATCTTAAAATGTGTTATAATTACCACTGCAGTCATAAAAGCAGTTCATGACTGGTACTAATAGCCAAGTCTAAGGTCAGGACTAGGGAAGTATGCTCCAGTAGACACTTGACAATGGTCCAAGTGAGCCATGCTGGGACCATGTGCTTCTGGTTAAATATGGACAGGGCAAATATGAAAGAACCATTGCCATCATCCTTGCTCTCCTTCCCAGTCCCTCCCCCACTGTGCAACCTTCACCTCACCCCAGAGCCTGCTCACACTTTTATCATAGTCTGCCAGTCATCTGCAAGCTCCTGAAGGGCTGGAATTGTCATCTATTTATCTCTGTCAAATTAAATGGAAATGCAACCATCTTCCCTGTCCCAAAAATCACATGCTTACTTTAATTTCTTACCTTCTTTATTCAGTGAATATATCAACTTTTGCTACAATTAATGTCATGCCTCTTTTGCTTATTTATTTATTTTTTGCAGTACTGGGGTTTGGACTCAGGGCTTATACCCTGAGCCACTCCAGGAGCCCTCTTCCTGTGATGGGTTTTTTGAGATAGGGTCTCACAAACTTTTTACACAGGCTGGCTTCGAATTGGGATCCTCCTGATCTCTGCCTCCTCAGTAGCTATGATTATAGGTATGAGTGACCAGTGCCAAGCCTCATGTCACTTTTCTTAACCTGATCTTAATATTCTCTCAGGCAACATTAAGGACAAATGATATTAAGTTTTTAAAAATCTTTTTTTTTGAAGATTTTTCTCTAAAATGACATCTGTGACCACTGGTACAAATTTGTGCCATAATTAGTGTTCTATCTGAGGGGTATGGACATCTCGATGGGCTAATATGAGTCCAGGTGATCAAAGTTTGGGTCATCTCCAAAGTTATTTTCCTCCTTTCAATCATTTCATCAGGATAAATTTCCAGGAGTGGAAATTTCCAGGTTAGAGATACATTTATATGCTATACACTACATCCAGTCACATAGACCCAGACTAGGTTGTGGCTTATTCCTGTGACTTGTTACTATTCTTGCCCTCTAGTATTTGATCGAGTTGAAGTATTACCATATCTAGCCCAGATGTCTTCTGTGTTTTATTTTTATCTCATCCTTAACCTTGCTTCTGATGACACTTTACATCACTGTGGCTTGCACTTCATGTGGGGTTGAAGTTCAGCTATCATTACCATCAATTATTAAGTGCTGACTACACAAACTCCTGATAATGGTATTAAAATAGGCACAATGATGTGCAATACTATTTAAACAAACACTGCCAACTATCTCATCTTGTAATGAAACACATCTTCACACTGGATTATGATCCTTGTAAAGATGTTGAAATACATCTGGAGGTGATCCTGAATCCCTTCTTCCCACCCATCTAGCTCTTCTACAGCTTTTCCACACCTGTATTCTTTTGACAAATGGTCAAAAGAATAACAAACCTCTATAAAAATCAATTTCACGTATTATCTTTTCTTCTCTATTGAGGTTGACTGTGAAGTGGTTCATGTTCTCATAACCATGTTCTATTTTCTCCATCTGAAATGCCTTTGACGCTTCTGAGATTCTGCAACAAAGACAGGTTGTCATTTTCTGTCACTGGTTACACTTTGGGAGTGTTGGGTAAATGAAAGAAATGAATTTTTTCCAAAATCCAAAAATTACTTACTTTTGTAACAGGGTTTTCGCATTCTGTGAAAGAAAACAAAAGGTAGGCTTATTTAAATTCTTTTCAATAGAGATGGAGTAAGTCTTATTTTTTTCCTTTAACAGCACTGAGAATTTCATAGCTTAGTTTCTAAACCATCAATTACTGCTATTTGGCCAACCCTCTTTTATTAAGTAATGCCAAATAGATGATATGTTTAATCAGTAAATCAGATTTTGAAAATGAAATATATATAAAATAATAAAAATGTGATAAGTAATTTCCAGCAGCCACATTTTGGGTTGGTTTCCTTAGTACTAAAGAGATTTACCTGCAGAAACACTGCCATTTCTGGCTCATCCATGAACTGGATCCCTGACTCAACCAACTTTGTTACATTCTCCAAATGATCAGAATACTTTTTGATGAGAGCACGGATGTGCTCCAGTTTCTCCTCTTGGGTTCGGGTGATGGCTTGGGTCATCTCATTCTTCCTCTCCTCCAGGATGCCATACAGGTAATCAAACTTCTCACAAAGGTCCTGTTTCTGCTTTCTGCTGTATTCCTGTTAGTTGGGTTAGCTATTGTTAGAAAGTATTTGTGAGAAAGTCTATTTGGAGAAATCACTTGGACATTTTGGGAGACAAGAACATTTATTTATGTAGGATTTTTTTCCCTTGAGCTGTCCCTATTTGTGTGGGCACCTACTGTGCTAAAGATTTAAAAATCTTATTTTTAACAAATTTGATATTTAGACAATTTAAAATTCAGTAACATTGGCTAAGTGGATCAATGACTTTTTTCAGGTTTTTGTTCATTGTAAGTGGAACATTCATAGAAATTAGAACATTTTCTTTGGGTTATGTAGGCTACAGTATATGTACTGTATATATAACAGTGTGTGTGTGTGTGTGTGTGTGTGTGTGTGTGTGTAAAAACTTCAGTACTTCCTGGCTTGTACCCTTCCATCTTCCTCTGCTCCACCTATACTGATTCTGTCCCAGTTCCTGGCCTCCGTGTAGATTCTGTAGCTTCCCAAGAGCCTCTGCATCTGGGATTCCCTCCTCCAAGCCAACATACATTCTGCAGCCAAATCAACTTCCTCAGTGCACAGTTCTAAACATGTTTTTTTTTCTGTTATGGCTCCCTGTGGTATAAGCAATAACATTTAAACTTCATAACTGGCTTTCAAGACCACCCGTGATCTGGTTCCAGCTTTCTTTATTGCATCCCTTGCATTCCAGTGCAAATCAACCACTCACTTTCTTTGCTCCTGCTTTCCCTTCTGTGTATAATGTTCTCCTGCAAGTCACAGTCACAAATGTTAAGCAGTCTTGCAGACACTGTTGGAATACTCTTCTTTCATGTAGCTTCCCTGGACCTCTGAGGCTACATGTCATCTTTCAAGCTTCTGAAATCTCATAATAGTTACCATTCATGGCATCCACCTGTATAGTCTATTTACCCAGTACTGTCTAACAGAGAGAAATACTGGAAAGAAAGGCTATATTGGAAGTGTGACTTGTGCATTTGCACTTAAGCGTGGTATTTTTCTAATCAAACTTTCTTTTATTGTAGTATCTTTTCTGCTTAGTTTATAGACAACCATGTGCCCACCACATGTCTGAAATAAGAAGCTCTGCTGCTTATCGGGAACATATGATGGTTGCCATCTTGTTCTTCTAATATAAACTTTGTGTTTGCAACATTTAGTAGCAAATATTATATTAAGATGTGATACTGGAGAAAACTTTTATAAAGTTTTCTTCTATGTGATTCAATATGTGTGAGAACATTCAAATTTATGAATGCCAAGTCATTTACAATGTAACTAATGTGAAATTATGTGTATTCTAGTATTCTCTCAAGCCAAATAAAGATTACATAATATTGGGAAGAGTGGCCTATGCCTGGAATTCCAGCAGAGATAGGAGGCTCTCAGTTCAAGGTCAGCTGGACAAAATAGTTAGCAAGATCCTATCTCAAAGAATAAGCTAGGCATTGTGGTGGATACCTGGAATTCCACCTTTGCCATTGGCATGGGTAGAAAGATTACAGTCTGAGGGCAGCCCTGGGCAAAAATTTAAGACCATATCTGAAAAATAACTTAGAAAAAAAAAGGTTGGGGCATGGCTCAAATGGTAAAGCACTTGCCTAAAAAATGCAAGACCTTGACTTCAAACCTCAGTACCAATAAGAAAAAAAAAGATTACATCACTTATTTCACTCATATAAATTTTACTTAGTGGTTGAAGAGGAATAACTCTACTTTTATTCTTTATTATTTTCAGTTACAAATATTATTTTATTTCTATTTTGGTTTTATAATTATGTCTACAGTATTTCTTTCTTTTTTTTTTTTTTTTTTGCGGTTTTGGGGTTTGAACTCCTACATCTTGAGCTACTCCAGCACTTCTTTTTTGTGAAGGGTTTTTTCAAGATAGGATCTCTCAAACTGTTTCCCAGGCTGACTTCGAATCCTGATCCTCCTGATCTCTGCCTCCTGAGTAGCTAGGGTTACAGGTATGAGCCTGGCAACCGTATTGAACTTTAATAAAATTATTATCATTTTAATAGCAACTTTGATTTACTTATACTTCATAGTGTAGGAAGTGATACCCTGTGCATGGTCCCTGCCTAAATTATAGCTGTATCACTGCATACTTTAAAAAGCACTTATAGCAATACCAGACATATGATAGGCCCTATATTAACGTTTATTAAATTCAGGTGCAAATTCTTTAAGTTGAATTGCTCAGCTTTGAATTCTTGAAGTTGGGTAGAATGTTAGAAATAACCTGCTCCAAATCAATCAACTCACTCTACGGAAAATGAACGTCACTTCTTCATTCACTGTTGATGCCTGGCCTGTAATCAAAGACTCTGAACTCCTAAGTCATGGCTGCTTCCACCACACCCAGCTGTGTCCATAGCTTCACTTGAAAATAAAATGACAGTAAGTTCTTGAGAACTGAATATATGCTTTTTAGCAAATGTACTAGGCAGAAAGTAGGCTTTGTAAGGTCAAGAAGCCTCAAACTGTTTCAAAATTATATTCATTGGCTCATTTCTTCAACAAAATTCACTAATTGCTTATCATGTACCAGACAGTCTATGATCCAAAAACCTGCCATAAATTTCCAGCCTTCAGGAGAACAATAAATGTAAAATTTATCATACATGATAAATATAAAATATAAAATAGTTATATTTTCTGATTTCTAATGGAAAAGCCACTTTTTTTCTCTTACTTAATTTGCATTTAATGTAATTCTACACAAAATGTGATAAAAGTTGGACAAGTTTGTTTCTTTTTGAAAAAATTTTATTTAGATAAGTTTGTTTCTAAAATGTGATAAATTGATACTTTGTCCTTGGAATTATGTAATTGGGACTTAGAAACTTTTAGAAACTAAATTAAGATGTACAGGTAACCTATTGCAGGTTCAAATGGGAAAGACTGTGAAATTGAAAGACTTCTTTATTCCTCTGTGATAGAACCAACACATGATAGACTAACAACCTCTCTTCAGTCTTTATCAACTACAGGACTGTCAGGAGCAGTAAAAGTCAGTGAACAACAAACACCTCAGGTTATCAATTTACTCTTAAGCTAACTGGGGAACAGATATGTGTTACAACTTTTAAAAATGTCCTTAGAGGCCACCTGGCTACTGATGGTGATTGCTGTGAATTTAGTACTTTCTGTGCCTTTGTCAATGTGAACCTGAAACACTTTCAGTAGTGACTTTCTAGAAACCTCACAAATGGAATGGGAAAAAAAGTACAGACTTGTGCATTACCCAATGGTTGCAGATAGTGCACTTTAAAGGATGAGTGTTACCTGCAAAAATTTTAACAACCATGTTTATTTATTCTCCACAAAAACATCCTCTCCTTAAAGATTTCTCCTTGCTATTAACATACCTCTTTATGTGTTTTACTAAAAAGTTATGTGTCTTTAAGCCCAATTCCATGTTGAATACACACCTTTCCTCCCACTCTTCTTTGGATAGTAAGTGAATTAAGATATATATTTGCAGGCTTTCAAGTTTATTATTTTATCATATGTTGTCTGTTTTCTTCCTTTTGACATTTCTGTTTCCTATGTGTGTGTGTGCTTGAGTGAGTGTGTTTAGTGCTTAGTGCTTAGTGTTTAGGAGTGAAGTCACTCCTTCATACATGCACTAGGTATGGTTTCCAAGCACCTTCTGATGCCAAGACTCAACTGTGGTGCAGCCTTCCTTTTGGATCTGCCAGAACTGTTCTTTTTATTGACTTCTTAGGAGAACCAAATTAAAGCTGTCTGTAATTTTAAAAATAATGACAAAATGTACCCCATCTTAGAACTCATTGTGGTTGTTGTATACTAAAAGGGGGTGGTTTTATAAAGGGAAGATGATCTTGTCCATATTAAAATGGCAGGATGAGGAAGGGTGGAATATTTGTTTCTAACCAATGCTGAAACTTCTGAGTGAAAGGAAAAAAAAAAAAAGAAACCAACAAGTAGTCACTTGGTTGTTTCTGTAGAAATGAGTAGTTAACCTTTAATATTAATCTAAGGCATTGTTTAACTGTAGCTTTCATAGAAATGTCAAAACTGTCAGGTTCCTGTTTTTAGCCACCTTTATATTTTAGTAGTAATGAGATAAAACAAAACATGCAATTGCAAAGGGATACTTTTTATGGAAAAAACAATAATTGTCTTTTAGTAAAATAATAGATGGCCTGCCAAGCAAAGTACCATCATTCCACCATTTTTAATGGCTAATTTTTTATTGGCTTGATTTTTTTTCCCAGGCACTTATTACTCCCTAAGATTATCTTTTACTCATTTGTTTTGTTGTCTGTTTCCTTTACTAGAAAAACTGCCAAGAGCAGGTACCTTTTATGTTTAGTACATTACCACTCCCAAGCATTATGTACACAGAAGATGGCATACTTGAGATGTGTGGGTTTGGATGATAAAATATGACTTGATCTAGAAATACTCAGCCATCACACAAAAGTTTCCATTTTGTGCTGTTCCAAAGAAGTAAGTGCGTAAGTGGACACCCCAAGCCTCTGATTGATTCAAAGTTCGAAAGAAAACAGCAAAATATAGCTATGCAACCTTAGGGAAGCCATTTAATCACAGGACTTTAAAAAAAAGATAATCTGTACAATAAGGTTAGATTGGATAATGGCTAAGATCCCTCTGATTCTACAGTTCCAAGACTTTACAATTCCCTGTAAATGCGAAGGTTATTTCCAAGAATCTTTAGGCTAGAACATGCCTCTGTAATGGAGATTCCAGACAGCTTCAAAGTGTCACCTACATACAGCACTAAGATTTAATATCAGTCTCAGCTTGGGAGTGTGCCAGGCTCTGACAGGAAAAGCATAAAGCAATTATGACCACTGCTCTTACCATGTAAGGAGCACAGCTCTATGACCAAAATAGAGCTGAAGATAAACTCTAAGTCTCACCACTTGTCACTGAGCAGCTGTGGCTCCACCAGGCCCATTCATATCTCTACCACATTCCTCCAGCATTCATCGAGACACACTTGTATGGAGCTGCAGCTTCATGAGAAATATAGTACTTCAAAAGTCCCACCCCACTCTCCCAAACAAGAAAGAAACAAAGCAGACAGTAGATTAATAACAGTGAAGAAAGAACTATATTAAAGTGAGATGCTCCTCCCAACAAAATGAACCCCAGTCCTTATCTATAAGGCTCTAATTACAAGCACTTGGAGAAATCCCATGAACACAGCCTGGGATGTCCCTAGAAATGGGACAGACAAATTGGATCTCTAGGCACAGGCTGGAGTTCAGTCACTTCCTTATCAGCCTCTGCCTTCATGTAGTGCTCAGCAGAACAACTCTATTCATCAGCCTTAGTTCTTGGGTCTCCCACGCTCATGCTCTTTCTACAACATGGTGTTGTCCTTCCAGGGTAGACGGACAATTATATGGTAATTAGTGACATTACTGTTGAGTTTCTTGGCATCAGGGATGTTCTGGACTTGCCCATTTAGTTTCTCCCTGAGTAAACTCCAGGAGGGCTCAGGGCCAGGCAGGTGTGTTCTGACGTGAGCCTCACGGTTCAGGAAGCCACATGACAAGCTGAGCAGATGTTTAGCTCACTGTGTTCAGCAGTGGACAATCAGCATGCTTTTAGGAGATGCTCAGTCTCCCTTCGTTGCCAGTATTTCAAGTTGTCATGAAGCCTTTTCATCAATAAAGAATAGGGATAATATCTAGTTCCATTCTTGTGCAAGTTTTCCTTCTGAAGGAAGCTACTCAGTCTCACCATTACAACTAACCAGGACCCTGATAGATTTCTCCTGACACCATTTAAAACACACTCCACTGGTTCAAATGATGGTTCCTTTGCAGCATCAGGATAAGTATGTGCTTTCCTAGCTTACTTTGAGGATGATATGAAGTGACACCTGCTGAGCTCCTGGAATGTGCCTCTTACCCGATTTGGTTATCACAGCAACATTGTGAAGGTAGTATTATCATCCCCATTATAAAGCTGAGGACCGGAAGGGACAGGAAGCTTAAGTAACTTGCCCATAGTAAGTAACAATGCAAACTGAAATCTATTCTTCAAAACTGTATGTTATATTTCTTTAAAAACTCTGACATGGCTGGGCACAGATGGTTCAAACCGGAGATAGGGAGGATTGCAGTTTAAGGCTAGTTTGGGAAAATGGTTTGCAGGACACCAAACCTAAAATAACCAGAGCAAAATGGACTGAAGGTGTGTCTCAAGCAGTAAAATGCCTGCTTGGCAAGATTGAAGCTCTAAGTTCAAACTCCAGTCCTACCCCCACCCCCGCCCCGCAAAAAATCTAGCATGCTTATTGAAATGATTCTTGTGGCTGGAGATGTGGCTTAAGTGGTAGAGTGCCTGCCTAGAAAGTGCAAGGCCCTGAGTTGAAACCCCAGTACTGTGAAGAAAGAAATAAAGAAGAAAGGAAGGAAAGAAGAAGTGGTTCTTATATATTCCTATTTCTTGTGTGTAAGTGGTGCATGACATTGAATTAGAGATGAAGAAAATCACTTTGGGGTAAAACTGCTTTGGAAATAAAATGGATTTGCTCTTGCAAAATCATTGGTAGATTTATTAAGGTTACCATTTTCAGATATTGGAAACACTCAATATCAAGTATTTAATATTCAACTTGTGGCAGTTTCCCCCAGACAGCCATTCATACCAAACAGGATTATTTTTAGGTCTCCCTGTTTGCTGGTGGGAAAGCCACTATTACTAGCCTGATCTCTGGGGTATCCATTGATGTAGGATAAGTGCCACTGGTAAAGATGACAGAAGAGGTTGTTTCCAAGGGATGAGAAATGGAAGTCAAACATGTTTTTCCAGAAGCCCTTGGTCAACCTGAAATCCAGAGCTCAGGGAATGTCTTAGGCTGGGCCCCTTCCACCCAGGATAGCTAATGAGACTCAGGACCTGTACCTACCATTAGCCCACAGCACAGAGAGAAATGCCACTCTCCCTTCAAGATAACTCAGTCTGCCCATTTGCAATGATAACCCCCTCAAAGCTGTCTTAATCATCCCTGCATATCCATGCCCACATCATGCATTATTTAAAAAGCATAACAAGGAGCACACAGTGTGATTTACCCTAAGCCTAGCAATGTTCCAGGGCTGAACCCAAGCCAGGTGCCTCCCCAGGTCAACTCTGCAAGATGGCACATGCTTAGGGACAAAATTAGACATATGCAAGGAATGGGCCTGACTCCCTCAGGACAGGTGTCAGGGCTTCCAGAAGAAAGGCAAGGTAATTATAGAAGGACAGTGCCCACTGCAGGGGCTATTCCATTCCCATCCCCAATGAGTCCCTCACCAATCAGAAAAGAGAATTCTTTACAACAGGTCTCCACCCCCAGGAACCACCAATAGCTTCTCAGGAAATGTTTCCAGGCAGGTAGTGAGCAAAACTAGAAAGGGAAACAATAATTCAGAACAGGAAACATAGAAGCTCTGTGCCCCTGATCTGCTGCAGAATTTACCCCCTGTGCAGCATAGAATCATTTTACTGTTTTGCTCCCTGTGTCTTATCTTGCAGCCTGGCAAGAAACTGAACCTCTGCAGTTTTGCCCATTGATGTGTATCTGGGTCTACATTAGATCATCCCAGGGATTACAGGTGCACAGGATAGCTACTTGAGACAGTATCCCTGTCCTCAGGGCCTCATAAACAGAGAGCCTGATAAAGTCAGAGATCTCCATGGGGCTCTAAGGCAACCCCTAAATCTCCAGCTGAACCACCTAATCTGATTGGAAAGAACCGTGCTTATTCACATCCTAGTCATTCATTCATTCTTTATCTAACTGGCTATTAAAAATGGGCTCTCATTATAAAAATGTTAAAATCAGTAATATATAAGGAAGGCACTGAAAATTGCCCCCAGGCCCACTATTTAAAGATCTTAATCTTTTGGTGTTTTTCCTTCCTGATTTTCTCCTCCCATGAATGTACAGGTTAGATATGAATATATACATTCTATATTGTTATATCTGAATGTATACATCCTACACAGTGTTTATAAATCTATACTTGGCTATGCTTTCCATCATATTTCCTTAAGATAACATCCCAGAACTGAAATAAGTAAGTGAAAGGGATTGGACAAATTTTTTTTTTTTGGCGTGAGACAAAGTCTTGGTAAGTTTTCCAGGCTGTCCTCAAACTTCCAATCCTCCTGCCTCAGCCTCCTGAGTAGCTTGAGTTATAGATATGTGACATCATACCCAGCATGGGGATGGCACTTTTAAAGACTACTACCATCTTAAAGACTTGAGGGAGTAATCACACACCCTCACCGCTTCTGCTAGGAATTTCTCCCCACTATCTGCCCTAAATCCTTTCTGCTGATTTGACTTCAAACCTGTTCTTTCTTGAAGTAGAAATAGCTGCTTCCCACTGCTCCCCTGACTGACCTCTATGAAGAAAGCCTCCTCGTCCTTTGACAGTGGCGGAGTGAGTTGAGATTTTTCCATGGTTGAAGACTTCAGTGTGACCCTCAGGGGTTTTCTCCTGTCCGTGTTCTCCAGTATTTCCATCCCAGACAGAAAGCCAGTTTCCCCAACAGACATTTCTGATAAAGGCCCCACCAGATCAGGCATGTGTATAGAGATCACCTCACTCACCCTCAAGCAACAGGCTCCTATTTATACACCCCAGACTCAATGTGGCCCCACTGAAGTGCTGATTCATGGCTAATGATTAGCTGTATTTGGCCTTTGCTGTAAATAAGTACAAAGAAAAAAGTTTATATTGTGTATTTCTGGATCTCTTTGGACCTAGAGAAAACTTTCCTCTACAAATGAATCCCAGACTTATCATAGATCTCTTCAGAAACATGAGTGTGGAGAAGAAAGGAGTTAGGTTTTAATGATATGTAAATCTAAAATGAAATTATTACAGCTAATGTCTTCCAGCCATCATCTAGGAAATGGCCTTTGGCTTTTAATAGAATTTGCCTTTGGAATTGTAAAATAATAAGAATAGCTCGTATTTATCAGGAACTGACTACCTGCCTGGCACTGTGCTATGCATTTTTGCTTACGCTCATTTAATTCCTTCCAGTAACTCTATAAAGTCAGTACTATGATTGTCCCCTTTTTACAGAGGAGAAAACTGAGGGACAGATGTGCTTACAGCAATATTAATAGATCTTAAAAACACAATGCTTAGTTAAAATAAAAAGAAACAGAATGGGAAACAGCATGATGTCATTGCATACATATAAAACAATGCATTGTATGAGAACACAGACAGAGTATCAAAAGTGTTAAGAGTGGTTATCTACTGGTGAAGAGAGCAGGAGTAGGAAATGGGCATAAGAGAAAATAAATAGATAACAGGAGAGGCCTTGCACTGCAATGAGAACAATGTGTCAGAAACTGAGCAGTCTAATGGTCAGTCCTCTAACCATAGTCAGGCAGATATTTCTGCTCCTATAGCCCCTGTGCAGCCTGTCATGAGGGCTCAAGTGTGCAGCTCAAACCTGCACATGATTTCCTTAAGCATTAAGTAGCATTTCTTAAGACCATTTGGATTTTCACGAAGAAATTTTGTTAGTATAGCAACAGCACTCCTTTCCATTACTGGGAATTGATTTCTCTTATTGCTAAACTTTCAAAAGGAGTTGATCATATAACAGCCACCTGAGCAATGTAGTAAAGATCTTCCTCATCTACTCATTGGTAAGTCCTCTTTATGTGCCAGGAAGTGAATATTTCATAGCTTTATTAAGAAGGAGGTGATTTTATATGGAAAGAATGAAACATCAGGATGGGAATTTCTAGTGTGGCACCAAGGAAGCCACAAACACCAAGAAATTGCAGGTTTGGCATAGATTCACTGGGAGTCACCTGACTTACCTCAATAGTTTTACAGGTGTCCTCCAGCTGGCTGATCATACCCTGGACTCGATCATTGCTTCCCACAAGGACGGCAATGCCATCACTGAGCTCTGACTAATAAAAAGAAAAGAGGGACTCAAGATCTTAGGAGGATTCTAGTCACTGAGGACTGTTAATTAGTCATAGTATTGTCCTCATGGGATTCTTAATTTAAGGTTCCATGAGCCTATGCGGAGTCTGTGAGCCTCATGTCATTGCAAGCAAACTTGAGCACATGGATATATTTGTGTGGGAAGAGGGTCCATAGCTTTTCTTACTGGAAATTGTGACTCTGTCAGAAACACGAGAAGCACTGAATTGAGCATGGCATATTTGAGCTAAAGAATTCTAAACATTGTTTATAAGGGGAATGGAGTCTAAAATGAATTATTTGCTTAATGTAGCTTAGTTTTACTTGGAAAATGTATGCAGTAAATATTCATTTTTTCAGCATATACTTAGTATAGGTCTGCTATGCTAATATTATCTGTATACACATAAGCACTCATGGAACTAAGTTACCACAAACTTAAAATTGTAATATGCAGTTGGTTTGAAGTAAAGAAGGTTATACAGAGAGATTCCTAGGATTGCTTCCATGCACTTGCATATTGCAACCCACATTGGTTCATCTCTGCCAGACCTCTTTCTTTGCTACTTCCTGGTCCCCTTCCCATAGTGGCCTTTGCCAGTTTCAGATTACTGTACTTGTTCCTCCACCATGAGCACATCAACCACATTCAAGTTTTAGGTTTTCTTCCCTTTCCTTATTCCTCCCATACGTGTTCTCTCCTTAGTGTGTGACCTATGTCCAAAAATATTACTGCATCTTTTAGGTCTATAATCCACATATGAGGGAAAACATGATGTTTGGCTTTCTGAGCCTGAATAACTTCACTTAAAATGATATTCTCCAGTTCCATCCATTTATTTGTGAATGACAAAATTTCATTCTTCTTTGTTGCTGAGTAAAATGCCATTGTGTATAAGTACCACATTTTCTTAATTCAGTCTCAGTAGTGGGGCATCTTGGCTGTTTCCACAGCTTGGCTATTGTGAATAGTGCCACAGTAAACATGGGTGTTCAGGTGCCTTTGTAATAACTTGAGTCACATTCCTTCATGTATATTCCTAGGAGTGGTATTGCTGGATCATATGGCAGATCTATGTTTAGTTTTTTGAGAAGCCTCCATATTGTTTTCCAAAGTGGTTGTACTAGCTTACATTCCCACCAACAGTGTATGAGGGTTCAGTTTTCCCCAAATCCTTGCCAACATTTGTTGTTGGTGGTGTTCTTGATGATAGCTATTCTAACAGGAGCAAGGTAGAATCTTAGTGTGGTTTTGATTTGCATTTCCTTTATGGCCAGAGATGGTGAGCATTTTTTCATGTGTTTTTTGACCATTTGGACTTCCTCCTTTGAAAAAGTTCTGTTTAGTTCAGTTACTCACTTATTTATTGGTTGATTGGTTTTGGGGGAGTTTAGTTTTTTGAGCTTCCTGTATATTCTGGTTATCAGTCCTTTGTTTGATGTATAGCAAGTAAATATCTTCTCCCACTCTGTGGGTAGTCTCTTCAATTTAGAGACCGTTTCTTTTGTTGTGGAGAAACTTTTTAATTTCATAATTTCACATAGCCCCATTTGTCCATCCTTTCTCTTAGTTGTTGGGCTGCTGGAGTTCTTCTGAGGAAGTCCTTGTCTATACCTATTGCTTCCAGAGTATTCCCTGCTCTTTCATGTACTAACTGCAAGGTTTTGGGTCTCATATTAAGGTCCTTAATCCACTATGAGTTGATACTAGTACAGGGTGACAGGCAGGGATCTACTTTCAGTTTTCTGCAGGCATATAACCACATTTCCTAGCAACATTTGTTGAAGAGGCTGTCTTTTCTCCATCTTATGTTTTTGGTGCCTTCATCAAAAATAAGGTGGGCGTAGCTGTGGATTCATATCTAGGTTCTCTATTCTGTTCCACTGGTCTTCATATCTGTTTTTGAACCAGTACCATGCTGTGTTTATTGCTATGGCTCTGTAAAATAGTTTGAAGTCAGGTATTGTGATACTTCTAGCATTGCTCTTTTTGCTCAGTATTGCCTTGGCTATTTGCGGTCTTTTGTGTTTCCAAATGACCTTTGGGGTAGATTTTTCAATCTCTGTGATGAATGTCATTGGGATTTTGCTGGGAATTGCATTGAACATGTAGATTGCTTTTGGTAGTATAGCCATTTTTCCTATGTTCATTCTGCCAATCCATAAGCATGGGAGATCTTTCTACCTTCTGTAGTCTTCTTCAATCTCTTTCTTCAGTGGTTTGTAGTTCTCCTTGTAGAGGTCATTTGCATCCTTTGTTAAGTTTATTCTTAGGTATTTGATTTTTTTGAGGCTTTTATAAATGGAATTATTTTCCTATCCTCTTTCTCAATTTGCTCATTGCTGGTGTACAGAAAGGCTACTGATTTTTGTAAGTTGATTTAGTATCCTGGTACATTGCTGAGGCTGTTTATGGTGTCTAGGAGTTTTTGGGTGGATGGAGTTTTTTGGGTCTTTGAGGTATAGGATCACGTTGTCTACAAATAGAGATACTTTGACTATTTCTTTACCTATTAATATTCCTTTTATTTCTTCTTCTTGCCTTATTTCTCTGGCTAGGAATTCCAGGATTATATTGAATACGAGTGGGAAGAGTGGAGTGGTCATCCTTGTCTCGTTCCTGATTTTAGGAGAAATGCTTTCAGTTTTTCTCCATTAAGTATGATATTGGCTATAGGTCTGTCATATATAGCCTTTACAATCTTGAGGTACTTTCCTTCTATTCCTAGTTTTCTTAGAGCTTTTATCATGAAGTGGTGTTGGATCTTATCAAAGGCTTTTTCTGCATCTATTGAGATGATCAGGTGGTTTTTGTCTTTGTTTCTATTAACGTGCCATGTAATCAATTTGATCTCTAATTTTCTCACATTTAAAGGGTGAGGTCTGGTCCAAAACAGCAGTGGTAAAATATTTGAGAGCTGTAGAATTCTTTCTTTGAGTGGAAGCTAATGGAATCCTAGTAGATAAAAGTGAAGCTCTTCTGGGTAAATAGGAAGGGAGGGGGGAGTACCCACCTTCTGTCCTCCTGGCCATCCCATGAGTCTCCAGGGCTCTGAGGGAAGTAGTATGAAACATATACCATCTAGCACTAACATTCTAGGACTTGGGGGGTACAAAGGAAAGAAAAGAAGAAGGGGGAATAAATCAAAAGTTGAAAAATAAATAAATGTTGTAGCTATCTTGTAAATAGTGGTTGTTAGTTATAACTGGTGTTACCCAAGAGTTTGGATTCCAAATTTAATTTCAATTCTTCACAGCAAAATGCTGACTAAATGTGGAATTGATTATTCTAATGGGAAGAAATGGAGTTGTGGAACTGCACAAATTTTAGTGCCAGGAGTAGCTACGTCTCTTGGCACAAAAAACCCACATTTATCTGCACCAAAGGGTAAAATTCTGACCTGTTCCTGCATGACCCCAGATTGGTAGGTTGATGATGAGGTAAAGTAGAGCTGTTTACCCATGGTCAGAATGAGTGGGCTGTGGCTGAGGTACAGAGGTGAGGGGCAGGCACCATACCTTTTAGCAACTGACCTAGCCAACATGAAAGCTAGCAGGAAGCAAAGATTTAAAGATGTTCTATAACTATGTGTCATTATTATAACTTACTCCAACAAGGATTGGGTAAGAAAAGTTCTTGGAGGGGACAAAGGGAACTTTTTATTGGTGAATGAAGAAACAAATTCAGTGACTGGAGGAAAAAAACCCACTCAATTCTTATCTAGTTTAAATTTCAAATAATCCTGAGAAGTTTAAGTATGGATCTGGCCCTTGGCACTATTCATCTTCAGCAATCTCCAAAGGGCACAAAAAGGTGTGATCCTGTCCTAAACCTCTTCCCAAACCTTGTCATCCTCACTCTCCCTGACCTTCCTTTCCTTGCTGTGGGGAATTTAGTGTGTGGTCACATGAGTGGGCACCAACTGGACAGCATCCCTTCTGGAGAATCTTCTGTATGTATGTGCCCTCCAGTGTCCCGTTGCCTTGCAGGGCTGATTGGGCTCTCTCATTTCGAAGCAAGGAGCTGAAACACTAGCACTTAGAAAGGCTAAGGAGGAGGGGCTAGAGTGGCTCCTACCTTCTGCCTCTGGAACACATGAGTGAGGGGAGCTACTTGGCAGTCCTTGTGTGCACCAAACACCTTGCACAGGGAGCAAGTGGGCACTTCACAGTTCAAACAGTAGATGTTGATGCGTTCCTCTTCATGCTCCTCACACATGGGCTGGTCAGATTTCTTTTCTGGCCTGGGAGGAGGCAGGCAGATAAACATCCATTAATTTCTATTAGGGCAGAGCAGAGATAGGTGACTAGCTTTGCAAATCCCAGCTCATCCTTGAACCTCCCAACCCTATTCCAGAAGGGTCCCTTTCATATGCCCAGAACTCTCTGAGCTCAGCTTCCCTACAAGTTTAGTGGTGGATGCTGATAAATCTCTAACAACCTTCTTGGGGTGGGTTTAGGATGTAGAAACACTGATTAATAGCATTTCTCAATTTTCTGTGGTGTGTTGCCATCATGGCCAATTTCAATAGAAAAAATTGCCTAGTAAAATACTGAAAATTGAATGCTGAGCTCTGGTCAGTTATCAGGAATGTGATCCAGTTCTATGTCTACAAGCTCACAGATTTCTTGTGAGACACTTCCCATTATGGGTAAAGAAGGGAAGCTGCCAACAGAAGAGCTCAGTCCCACCCCTGTAGCCACTGACCACAGCAAACATCTTTCCTATCTTTAAGATTGAGAATGGAGATGGCTAGGGAGAGCCAAAATGTTTTTTGATTATTAATCTAGGCTCTGGTTAGAAATAACTATGTAAAAGGGAGGGATGGGTGTAGCCTCCTTATACAAAATCCAGGAGTTTTGATATATCCTATAGGAATGAGACCGTTAATAGTTTTTGTAAGTACTGGAAAAATTCATATCCAATATGAAACCCAAATCATGGTTTCTTCATGCTGCCAAACATAGTTATTTAGAAGCATCTTAACTTTGACCCTTCATTTTTTTCAGTTACTATTGGAGATTCATTTCTTAAAAAAACATAGGTTTTTTTAGGCACAAAATCAATTTAGGAGGTCATGACTGGAATTGCTAATTTCAAAATAAAGTAGAATAGCAAATAATGTAGTATTGATATATGAACATTTTCTTTTAGGTGTATGTGTATGGATGGATGTGTATGTATATGTGTGTATGCACAACATAAAAAACAAGAAACATATTTTATGTTCATGAATGTATGTAAATGGTCATTGTATTACAATGTAGAACATACAGCTTACTGTAAGTCATGAGTAAAAATTTGAAGACCAGTGATATTGCTGTGTGGTATTGTGTAGCTGCAGTGGACTCAGGGAAAGACAGAGAACATGTGATACCCCTCTGTGAGTGACAGGCAGAAGTCAAGTACTTTGGATTAGGAGAGCTAAATATTGGTAAAGTTCTGGGTCTGGTAAGGAAATGGCATAGATTTTCAGCTTCAAGATTTTAGAATCTGATGTTTGCCAAAGGAATTTCTATCTGGTCTTGTAGCAGTATACTTTCAGGAAACCTATGTCCTCTAACCTGACTACATACTTGGGACTCAAACAAGGAAAGTAACCCCGTAACTGAGACAATTATTCCCCTTTCCAGGCCTGTTTCTTCTACACAAATGTGAGTTCCTTGAGGGAAGTGGCTATGGTCTGTCTTCTTTTTTGCCTGATCCCCAGAGCCTAGAACAGTGCCACACATAGAGAGAGGGATATTTATATATTTGTTGAATGAAAAATGAGTGAGAAAATAAAAGGTAATTTGCCTGATTAATGCACAGTGTCCCCTGTTTTCTACCATAATCCTGCCAAGCTGGAAAAGACATGGGAAATATGGGAAAGCTCAGGGTCATTTGGCACTCATGAGTGGCAAACGAAGAGACCAGACAATATCTTCAACATTCCATTAGTAAGTGACAATGCCCTCTCAGGGTTATCTAGAGGCCAGAACTGGCAGGTTGGTCTCTGCTTTGTCAATGGCGTCTCCATCTCTAAAGTCATCTCTCCATCTTGTGATAAATGGGAGCTACACCAGAGTCTGAAGCATATTTACTAGAAAAGGGCACAGGTAGTGCTAGTGTGTCTTATTTTCACCTTGGCATTTCCTGAGGGTAGTCTAGGTCCCATGTACTGTCCTGATGTCAGCAGCTATGACCAGAGACAGTTGTACAGCACAGGTGTATTCAGGAAACACAGTTGTTGAACATGTGGAAACAGCCATAAGGTTATGTTTTATTTTGCTTGTAATTCAATTTATTCTTTTTCATGATATAAGATCCACTGAGGACTGCTTCTCATGTTCCTTATTAGTTTTTCTTGTTAGGTAGCAACACAGGCCCAGAGGCACCAGCCATTTGTAAATAAGTGCATAAATAAGCCATTTATAAATAAGTGCATGTTACTTGTATGATGTATGGACAACATACAAGTAACAGATTTCGAACAAACATAGCATGTGGAATGAAGATGTGAATAATTTTTTTATGAGGTGAGAGTGCTGAGGTCACAGTTGTGGTTTGAAGGTGAGTGCCGAGGTTGGCAGTGGCCCCTTGTGTTCAGTGCAGGCTAGACTGCAGGAATCTACAATCTGTGCAGTCTGATCTCTGAGAATCCTGGGAGCAAGTTTACTGAGGGGTGGGCATCTGGTCTTGGTAAGGCACTTCAGGTAGTCACTTTGTAGTTGAACTGACCTTAAATCTTAATTCCAGCCCATCTTTTCCATGTGATGGCTGTGTGGTAGCGTTAGGTAAGTTACTAAACATCTTTGGTCTCAGTTTTTATAGTATCTACAAATTGTACAAGGATTGTTCTAATTCAATATGGCAGAATGAACACAAACATTTATTTATATTTCCTGCAGAAATTGTACTAAAGTGAGAGTAAGTAAATAAAAAGATAAAGATATCAGAACAAAAAAGGAGCAACTTGACAGTAAACAAAAGATTACTACCAAATGTCGGAAATAGGGACCATCTAGGGGACTGCATTACCCTTGCTAATGCCTGCAGGGGAGACGCCTACAAGAAGCTAACTGACTTGAACTGTTGAGCCATGCAAAGGTTCTGGAACTGTAGCCAGAATCTGCAGTTGAACCCCTACAAGGTATCCTGAAGGATAGGAGTGTGAGGAAGGAAGAAAAGAGGAGGACTTTGTGCACATTTTAAGAGATTGCCAACAAAGAGGAAGACATGGGATCCAGGAAGCCAGAGGCACAACCTAAGGGAGAGTGAAGGGAATTCCCAAGTAGAGGGATTGAACCCAGCCATGTGAAGGCTTGGTCCTAGTCTTCTTCAGTGGAAAATCAAGAGACAATATCTAAAATTAAGAAGATAAGAAATAGCAGAGTAATAGTAGCACCATGTCAGTGGTGAAGAACAGCAGAAAAGGAGCTAGAAGAATTAAACTGAGTAATTTTGAGAAGTGAGACTTGAGGGCGTGAGAAACAAGAGGAGATAACTGTACTCTCATTACAGGTCTAGTAGTACTCTTTGAATTTTAAAAATCTTTATGTAATTTACTTTCATTAGACTATTAATGATCTTTAATAGGGAGATAATAATAACAATCACCACCTCACAGGATTGTCATGAAAATGAAAGAATTGCACATGATTCACATGTAAGGCCTCCTGAAGGGTATCTAACACATAGCACATAGTAGTTTTACTTATAATTTAAAGTTAATTATTATTATGCTCACCATTAATATTAATATTAACCCAATCAGTGCCTTCTCTTTCTAGCCCCCACCCCCCAAACTGGCTAGTTCAGTACCACTTAGAATTCTAGATTTGTGGAGACCTACAATCTCAAGTTATTCTGTATAAGTTCAGAGTTGACCAGTATCTCATAGTTCATTATGGTCACTGCCCCCTTTCTATTAACACCCCCAATGACCAGAGCTGGGTTTACCTCACTGTGTACATCCAAGGTTGTTCCAGGGTAATCTAATGTACCTTGAGGCTCAGCGTTCTGATCTGTTAAGGCTTCCAGACTCCAAGGAACAACTGGTTTTATATCCAGACATGTGGCCATGAGCAACTTGTGGTTTTTGCCACCAAATTAAAATGTCCCAAAAGCAAGTCTCAAATTCAAGAAAAAATATAAGAAAAATTTCATAATAACAAACCCCCCCATCCCCTCAGCTATGGATTTTATTATTAGGAATTTTATTCATTGCTTTTATGCAATTTGCTTCCCAGCCTCTGGATACTATTTTTGGCAGCTGCACAAAGCTGACTTCATAGTTAAGGTAAGGATGTCTTGCAGTTTTACTAATGCTACAAATTTCAACATCTCCTCTCCCCTGGATTTCATGATAACTGTGATTATTTTTTCATATTTCATGTTCTTACTGTGACAAGGAGTGAGACAGAAAATTATTGCAATAAATAGAACAAGTAAGAATATTTGTGACATTGCTCAGACAGGTGGTACTGCGGCACAACTATGCCGTGCAAGGCGCTTTACTAGGTACTAAAACAGTTGTCATATTAATTCCTGTCAATAATTAGTTGGTTATTAATTGGCTAGTTAATTTTTAAGAGACAGTGTGTGTTTGTATTTTAAAATAATGAGAGCAGATCTGTGAAGTAATAGCAATAATGATAGTATTTTCCTTCTTATCAAGAGATTTTGGAAGCAAAGAAAAGAGGTGGCTATAATCTGTGCAGTATGTCATCAGAAATTCTTCCTCAGTTCCATCTATATTGTGATGCTATCTAATTTAGTATTGAATCTTAAGCAGAAACTAATTGCCGTAATAATTACAATAATTAAAAGTTAGAGTGATAGCACAAGTTTCCTTCTAAGAGTGCAGGGCTCTAACCCGCAGACATTCCATAAACACATGTCCTTTAATAACAATCACAGTGAATCCATTTCTAGATGGTCTCCATATTGCTAGCAAGCTTTGTGAACTGGACTGACGAATGTGCAATTGCAAAAGGGCCTCACGCCATGCCTTCTAGGAATATGCCACTGCGATGTTGTCTCTAGGAAAGGAACTCTATAGCCAGTGTGGTGTAATAAATAACAAGCTTTTTAAAATTTCTTAACAAATGGATGTATATACTGTGTATCAATCAGTCAGCAAATGAACACTAAGGATATGCAGTAAATACAATTTAGGAACTAAGGATACATTACCCGAACTCCAGTTTTTTTCATCCATTTCTCTAAATTATAAGTTCCCAAAGGCCAGGATTATACTTGTTTTGAACTTCCCATCAAGTCAATATGGTGACAAACAATGTCAGAGGATTTTTAACTATTGTTATCTAGAATTTTAGGGCAAAAGAAAAATAAAAAGGCAAGACAGAACTAGGAAATGGGCTATTCTGTGAACTTTCTATAAAGTTTTACACTAGAATTTTATTGCTATGTAGGATGTAGAGCCATGAAGGACATTTGATGTGCGAAAATGTGTACTAGCTGACTTCTTTCCTCCCATGAGCACTTCTCAGTCCCATTGGAAAGAACTAATTTGGAAAAACCTTTTCCTATGAAACAATGAGTCTATGGTTGGTAAGCAAGTATTTAGTGCAGTGACGCATTAAAACAACCAACAAACACAGGCATTGAATGGGTCTGGTACACAGAAGAGCCGTTACCTGGTGGACTCCTGCTTATAGATGTCAATGATGTTTTCCACCAGCAGGTTCCTCTGAAGTCCGTACACCCCATGTCTGTCCAAAACCACTTCGTGTCTACAGGAAGGGCAGCGGAATCGGCCCCCCGATGCCACGGTGGTGCCTCCTCTTGTGGGCAAATATGGGTTAGAGGCCTGTTCTTGCCAAGCAAGGAAAGAGGAATTGAGTAACACCACAGGGAGATTTTCTAAGACTCTATTTTCACTCTCTGTGACTACAAACAACATGAACTTCTACTCTGAGCTTGCCATAAGATAATCCCTCAGGACCTTACTGCAAGTGGGCCTGAAAAAGTGGGTCCAGCCCTTATCCACAGCAATCTGCAATATGTCATTGTTAGCATGAGGCACTTTTCCATCCAGTGTTTTCATAACCGAAAGTTTCAGCTAAAATTCCAACATTCAAGTCTTGGGCTGTAATTCATTTACAATTTTGAAATATATTCAGTCATTTGGTTTTATTAAAAACAAATATGATTCTTTGAAATAAAATGAGAGGAAGAAGGAGATTGACAGCAAAGCACAAATCATTCAAATAAATTGGAAATAAATGCAGCCTTATGAAGTTTTCTAAAGGAATTAACCTCAGTGTTAAGCCCTTGATTTGGAATGGAGCGAATCTTTCCACCCACAAATTCAAACAAACCTACCTGGAAAATGTCACTGGCACACTTCCTGCACAGGTTATGCTGACAGGGAAGAATGACTACAGGTTTTGTGAACATCTCCAGGCAGATGGGGCAGATGAGTTGCTTCTCCAAGTTATCCATTGTCTGCTGCTCTTTGGAAAAAGACTTGTAATTCAGAGAAGTGCTCATCTCCTGGCCGTCCCTAAGTGCACCGCCAGGAAAAAAGGTGCTCAGATTGGCTTCTGCAAGTGTTTCCTGGAAATAATTCCCAGGATTGTATGATCAAGTGTCCTTTACGTTTCTCTCGGTGGAGGACATTGTTTCAGGCCCTGGTTCAGAGTGGGTGATGGAGCTGTTTTTAGCAGCCCAAGTCACATGACCGTGGACTGACTTGTCCATATAAGCCAGTGACAGGAGGATGGATTCTGACAGGTGACAGGGAGCAGCAGTTAATGTTCTTGCCCCCTGGAGTAAAGAGAGTGGGTGGGAAGGAGGATTACAAATCCTTCCCCATTTAGGTGGGGGTTGTGCAGGAAAGGAGGTTGAACCTGACAGTTGTCAACAACAAATGTCATCGTGCATGCTTGGTCCCTGAGCCATACCCACAGTGAGCACTTAGTAAGACCTTGGTGACAGACTTCTTCAGGAAGGAGCAGAATGCAGCCCAACAGTCTACTGTATAATGACCACCATTTCTGGCTTGAGAGATGGAAAGCAGCATGATAAGTGAAAATAAACAAAACATGTCCTGAAATTTTATTTTGGCTTCACTGGGGTAATCATCTAAAAAAAACCCTACTTAATATTAAATATTTCCTCTTTTCTAAGATTATGATCTGGGAAAAACTCCAGTTTAAAAGCTGAATTCAGATCCTTTTAACACAAAAGTGTCCATAAAATTAAAAAACAAACCACTAGTTGGTGATCCAATTCTTCTTTAAAAACTTGTATAATTAAATCCTAGTACACTCTTTTATCTTCCACATTGCTTTTTCTCTTCCCTAACCCTCTTTCATCCTATACTCCCAACCTATACACAACCAAATACACAAAGAAAAATTTTATTTTATTTTATTTTATTATTCATATGTGCACACAAGGCTTGGGTCATTTCTCCCCTCTGCCCCCAACCCCTCCCTTACCACCCACTCTACCCCCTCCCTCTCCCCCCACCCCCTCAATACCCAGCAGAAACTATTTTGCCCTTATTTCTAATTTTGTTGTAGAGAGAGTATAAGCAATAACAGGAAGGAACAAGGGTTTTTGCTGGTTGAGATAAGGATAGCTATACAGGGCATTGACTCACATTGATTTCCTGTGCGTGTGTGTTACCTTCTAGGTTAATTCTTTTTGATCTCACTTTTTCTCTAGTTCCTGGTCCCCTTTTCCTATTGGCCTCAGTTGCTTTGAAGGTATCTGCTTTAGTTTCTCTGCGTTAAGGGCAACAAATTCTAGCTAACTTTTTAGGTGTCTTACCTATCCTCACCCCTCCCTTGTGTGCTCTCGCTTTTATCATGTGCTCAAAGTCCAATCCCATTGTTGTGTTTGCCCTTGATCTAATGTCCACATATGAGGGAGAACATACGATTTTTGGTCTTTTGGGCCAGGCTAACCTCACTCAGAATGATGTTCTCCAATTCCATCCATTTACCAGCGAATGATAACATTTTGTTCTTCTTCATGGCTGCATAAAATTCCATTGTGTATAGATACCACATTTTCTTAATCCATTCGTCAGTGGTGGGGCATCTTGGCTGTTTCCATAACTTGGCTATTGTGAATAGTGCCGCAATAAACATGGGTGTGCAGGTGCCTCTGGAGTAACCTGTGTCACAGTCTTTTGGGTATATCCCCAAGAGTGGTATTGCTGGATCAAATGGTAGATCAATGTCTAGCTTTTTAAGTAGCCTCCAAATTTTTTTCCAGAGTGGTTGTACTAGTTTACATTCCCACCAACAGTGTAAGAGGGTTCCTTTTTCCCCGCATCCTCGCCAACACCTGTTGTTGGTGGTGTTGCTAATGATGGCTATTCTAACAGGGGTGAGGTGGAATCTTAGTGTGGTTTTAATTTGCATTTCCTTTATTGCTAGAGATGGTGAGCATTTTTTCATGTGTTTTTTGGCCATTTGAATTTCTTCTTTTGAGAAAGTTCTGTTTAGTTCACTTGCCCATTTCTTTATTGGTTCATTAGTTTTGGGAGAATTTAGTTTTTTAAGTTCCCTATATATTCTGGTTATCAGTCCTTTGTGTGATGTGTAGCTGGCAAATATTTTAATCCCACTCTGTGGGTGTTCTCTTCAGTTTAGAGACCATTTCTTTTGATGAACAGAAGCTTTTTAGCTTTATGAGGTCCCATTTATCTATGCTATCTCTCAGTTGCTGTGCTGCTGGGGTTTCACTGAGAAAGTTCTTACCTATACCTACTAACTCCAGAGTATTTCCTACTCTTTCCTTTATCAACTTTAGAGTTTGTGATCTGATATTTAGATCCTTGATCCATTTTGAGTTAATCTTGGTATAGGGTGATATACATGGATCTAGTTTCAGTTTTTTGCAGACTGCTAACCAGTTTTCCCAGCAGTTTTTGTTGAAGAGGCTGCTATTTCTCCATCGTATATTTTTAGCTCCTTTGTCAAAGACAAGTTGGTTATAGTTGTGTGGCTTCATATCTGGGTCCTCTATTCTGTTCCACTGGTCTTCCTGTCTGTTTTTGTGCCAGTACCATGCTGTTTTTATTGTTATTGCTTTGTAGTATAGTTTGAAGTCAGGTATTGTGGTACCTACTGCATTGTTCTTTTGACTGAGTATTGCCTTGGCTATTCGTGGCCTCTTGTGTTTCCATATAAATTTAACAGTAGATTTTTCAATCTCTTTAATGAATGCCATTGGAATTTGATGGGAATTGCATTAAACATGTAGATTACTTTTGGGAGTGTAGACATTTTTACTATGTTGATTCTACCAATCCATGAGCATGGGAGATCTCTCCACTTTCTATAGTCTTCCTCAATCTCTTTCTTCAGAAGTGTATAGTTTTCCTTGTAGAGGTCTTTCACATCTTTTGTTAGGTTTACACCTAGGTATTTGATTTCTTTTGAGGCTATTGTAAATGGAATTGTTTTCATGCATTCTTTTTCAGTTTGCTCATTGTTAGTGTATAGAAATGCTAATGATTTTTCTATGTTGATTTTATATCCTGCTACCTTGCTATAGCTATTGATGATGTCCAGAAGCTTCTGAGTAGAGTTTTTTGGGTCTTTAAGGTATAGGATCATGTCGTCTGCAAATAGGGATATTTTGACAGTTTCTTTACCTATTTGTATTCCTTTTATTCCTTCTTCTTGCCTAATTGCTCTGGCTAGGAATTCCAGTACTATGTTGAATAGGAGTGGAGATAGTTGGCATCCTTGTCTGGTTCCTGATTTTAGAGGGAATGGTTTCAGTTTTTCTCCATTAAGTATAATGCTGGCTGTAGGTTTGTCATATACAATAATAGTCTATAATAGGGTAGTAGCTGGCCTGTGGATAGCAGACCCACAATTTCATTTTGTCATGCATCAGGGGACAGAAACACAGTCCCTTCATACCTGTGTTTAATCTGCTTCTTAAATATCTGTGCATTTGTCCCTTCCTCCAAGATGATTTTTTAAATGATAGAATCCCTGGTCATTTCTGATGTTCTTGGTCTGCTCTTGCATCACAAACACAGATTCTGACATGTGCCAAGATTTTGTGAAACAACTGTTCAACCAATATGTACTCTATTTAAAAATTTTATGTCAGACAAAAAATGAAAGAGAAATCCGTGTCTGTTTTTAGTGTAATGAATTTGCATCTTATTTCTCTGTGATTTTAAAAATCTTGGACAAAGAACATATTTTACCAACAATCCCCAGAGTGCACTTACATTGCCAGCAAAGGGTAATCAGCGTGACTGGTTATGTGTGGCTGTAGTGCTATGTGCACTGAGAGCTGATTGACAATCTAATAAGCTCTATTCTCTAATAATACGTTATATGTATTCACAAACATTTCATGGATCTTTGGAGGATTCGCTTAATACTTTCAATATTTATTTAGCAACTACAGTGAAGAAGGGAATTGGTGAAATTTTCTTACCAAATTATATCCAGTCACCTAGCCTAGGCAGTTAATTTCTGTTTATCATTACTTTGGCTATGGAGGTCTGAGCACCCATAAAATATGAGGTATTTTCTAGGGAAGTTTCTACTGTAAAAGACCTTGCAATCTAAGGAAAAGAAGTTGTATTATTTAGGGTTCTCCAGAGGAAAAGAACCAACGTAATAAATAATTGTGCAATTATATATATAATTGTAAGAGGGATTTATTAGATTGACTCACACAATCAAAACCTGAATAGTTCCACAATGGCTATCTGCAGGCTGGAGAGCTGGAAAAAAACAATAGCTGCTCAGTACAAGAAGCTGGAAATCTAGAAACAGAAGGAACAGAACAGTGATACAGCCCCAGTCTGAAGGTGAAGGCCTGGAAGCCCCTGCAGAGTCACTGGTGCAAGTCTGTAAAATATTCTTTCTTATATCCTTATTCTGAGAGCCTTTTCTATTTTAATTTTAATTTTTTTGTTAAAAATTAAGACACAAACACACACATAAGTCTGGGCTTCTTTAGACCATAAATAAGCATAATGCATTTTGTGTGACATTATGCCAGCTAAGACATCACTAGGCAATATAATCTTGTAGAACCACCATAGTATACTAAAAAGCTGTTAGGTAGCACATGAGTGTACGTTGTAGAGAGCCTATTCAGATAGAAATAATTCATCCCTTCAAAAAAGTATTCATTATTTATCATGTGTCCTCATTGTACAAGGTTCTAGGGACTAAAAGGTAAACAAAGCACAAGTCACTGTCTTCAAGAAGCTTACTCTAAGAGGCAAGAACCATAATACAAAACAAAATGGTCAAGAACTACAGAATTTCAGGGTGGGAGGAATGAGGAATTCTTCATAGGTCAGGGGTAGCTTTTGAACTGACCTCTGAGGAACTTAATGCAACTTGGTAGGGCACTGGTGAGGCTTTCCAGGGAAGGCACAGAATCAGACACATGGAGGCACAGGCATGTGGGAATCTCAGAGCATGTGGTGGTTTAGCTTGGAGTGCAGGGCACGCTGCTGATGCATTGGCAGGCCATAAATATCAGACTAAAGAGTTTTTAACACTTAATAAATTAGACACCAGGAAGTCGTTAAAAGTGTCTCACAGGGATGCTTCCATGAGAGCATGTGTTGATTGGGTTAATCTTAAGTGGTGATGGGGACAGATGAGAGTGCAGGCAACCTGGCTAATGGCCTGATTGGAGGCTGTTCCCAATAGTCAGGCGAGAGGTCACAAAGGCCTGGCATGGGGTGATGGCACTGAGGAAGGACAGGAGG